TTTTGGAAGCGTTATTTCCAAGCCTCACAAGAAAATATAATAATGTTATATTCCTAGGTATCCCTATTAAGAGCACAGTTGTAACAGATAGTTTAATGCATAAGAATAGATGAGCCCAAAACAGTGGTGCGTATAGAATAATTAAATACAATGTCATTGTGTAAGGGATTGTTAAAAAAAAAAAGGTCATTTCCCAGGGATTTCGAAAAAAGATTTTAAACAATGAAACAGAAGGCAATGAAAAAGGATTAAAGGATTTAAGTAAAATGCTTAACTGGGAACCCTAGCAGCCAGACCATTACAGAGTTACCAGATTTGTAAATTAATAAGTATGGTTAAGTAGCAAAGTGTAGGAAACTGCATACAGTTCTGTCAGTAGAGAAGAATTATGATTGGTAACAGTAACAGGCAAAATGAAGAAGACCATTGGATAGATAAGCTAAACCATAAGAATTTGTATGTGAGGATCGAAATTAATATTAGTGCCTATGACAAAAAAAAGATTATAAAATGCAGTAGCTTTCATTCAAAAAATCACACTATGAAAATGTCTAAATTTAATTTCAGTGTCAGGTAAACTGACAGAACATTTGGAAATAAAAAGACGATGCCTTGAGAGAGACTGCATGAGATGGGCAAGCCCAAATACCATTTGTCTCTGTTCTCTAAGCAACAAACCAGTAGGGAAGGAAAAACGATTTAAAAACAAAACAAACCAAACAAAACATGTATTGGGATTGCCAGTAAGTCATTTTCCAGGTCCATGTCATGGAAACATAATGAAAATCTTCAAATCACAGGTAAAGAGCTCTCACAGATTAAAAGCAGTTAAGAGGCACAATACAAAGGCCAAAATAAATGATAACTTCTCAAATACTAAGTATCTTTGGGATACTGCTGCCATTACATTTAGCATTTTTAAAGTGTACATTAGTGATATGGTAAAAAAAAGGATGTGTATAGAAGGAATGTATTTTGCAGGTAAGACAAAACTTCTCTGTAAATTAATACTTGGCAAAAGCATCAACAACTTTTTAGAGTGTGTGAAAATTTCATTCATTAAGAAATGTAATAGAAGAAAATATTCAGCATTGACCAATGGTAACTTTATAAGGTTGTATTACATACTGGGACATTTAGTACCACTTGACAGGAGGAAATGGGGGTAACCTACTGAGGAGACACAGACAGTCTGCAAAATGAGGGTGAAAGGCAGCAGCAGAAGTGTCAGCAGTGGCAAGGCCGCAGCAGGACGTTCCTGGGAAACAGAGGAGCAATCCATGAGGACAGGCACAAGCAAGCAAGGGGCTCTGGAAAGTGATGAGAGAACTGCGGCTGTAGCCAGAAATGGGGGAAGAGAAGAAAGCAGCCAGGAGATGGGGGTGGGTGCAGATATTGGGAAGAACAAACAAGAAAAGGTGGCAATAAGGAGCTGTCCTCATTTCAAAATGGTGCCAGCTTTCCCAAGTTCCCCCCAGGCCATTTCATGATCCTTCATCTTCTCTTCTCTACATTGATCTGGGGACATGCATACTTCATCCTTTCTCTTCTCATCCTTCCTCTCATCCCATCCTTCCCCTTCCTGCTGCGAGCCTTCCCCTTCAACAACCTGCAGCTCACAGATGCTTTTTTTTCAGCGCAGGGATCTGACCCATCCTTATGCGCCCACACATCCTCCTGCAGCCTCCCTTCTCCTTCATCTTCAGTCTTCAGCCTGTGCTTACTGACACGTCCCCTCTTCACTGCCTTCCCACTCGTGCTGGTTACACTCAGCTTGGTCGCACTCCCATAACAGCATGTGGATAAGAGAACCACAGTCCTGAGGCTACCAGTGATGGGTAGGTGGCACCAACATTTAAAATCCAGTGTGTGGGATGGATACATGTTTCCTATTCGTCTGGAAGCATTACATCAGGGAATGAGCAAAATTGTTGCTCAGCTCCCATGTGGCAGTTCACAGTGGAAAAATCCTGAGATGTAGTGCAGGTATAAATACCATGTAAAACTTAACCCGCTTTAGTTCACTCTATTAAAAACTTAGCAGTGAAAAAAGATCAATAAAAGCTCACAGTGGACAGATAAAAGATGTCAGACAGATCTTAAAAAGAAGCTGTCATCACAAATCACTACCAAATGGAATCCACTACTGAACAAGAAATTCATAATAGTGAATTCCTGCAGGGAACTGAAAGGGCGAGACACTATTCAGTGTCCCTGTTCAACAGTTTCTGAGTGCTTATGACCCCAGAATTTGCACGCTGGTAAGATGGGGACAGCACAGTCATACGCATAGTAATATATTTTAATACATGGAGAATGAGAAGATGTGTCTGCAAAGTGGGTGATTCTGAAGCAAACATTGGCCCACAGTAGGAAGCTGCAGTCAACAGTGTTGGTGAGATGTTAAATCAGTAATGACTTTTGATCCCTCCTGCCAGGTTTATTTTTATCCAAGACTGTCTAAAATAACACACATAAATAACCTGGAAGGAGCAGGGCCTTTCCCTGCTCCAAGGTACACGTTTTGAACACTACGCTATAGGTAGCTCCACTTTCTTCCTGGCCCTCTTTCTGCATAATGACAGTTCCAAAGAGGTAGAGCATGTCTTGCCCGGCACGTATGTTCTGCTTGCTGGTTAAAAGGGTCCCTTGGTAATCTGTGGCTATGAGGCTATGAGCACGCTGAGCCAAACATGCAGCCCAGCTCTCCCGAGGATGCTCCAACCGGATCCCAATTATTCAAAAGGTGACTGTCATCTGAAAAATAACCTGGCAAGTACTTAGACACAAACTCTGAATTATGAGCACATGCAGAAAATTACCTGGAATCATGACTTGGCCACCACAGGGCTGGGAAGGGACAAGATTTCATACCCTTCCTTAGTTAACATTTTCTACTGCTAATTCCAGCCAGTTCCCCACTTGAAACAACCTGGTTTCCAGCACAGTGCCAGTGTGTCCAGCCCATGGAGACCAGGCCCCAAAGATTCTAGTCAAAAGCAAATGACTAGACTTCATACAAAAGTAAAAGTATGCATAGATGACATTTTCAAGGCCATTGCTCACATTAGAAGAACCTTTTCCCCAAAATGTAGAAAAGGATGCACCTCTAAAGATCAACTTTCTCCAACCTCAATAGTACATACAAGCTGCATTGTTTTTGTACATAACTCTCTGAGAAACAGACAATATAAATCAATCAAGTATGTTACTTACTTGGGACTAAGGATGTCCACGCTTTCTCTTGAAGCAAATCTTTTTCTCACACTTGTTTTTAAAGCTGTTGACTCTGCAGAATCGAAGACGAAATTCAACTAAACACCTTCCTGCAAAATACTCTTTTCTAGAGCCTGTTTCTCCCCCACCTCAAACAGACAAAAACAACAACCTGAAGGTCCCAAGTCTTGTGTGGTATCTTAAAGGTGCCCCTGCTGACAAAGCAGCAAATGTCACAATTCTCTCCATTCTCTCCATCTTAGGCACCTCAGTCATCACAAAAGGCTACAGAGCTAACAGGTAAAGGCACAGCTTCTATCATCACTGTAGCAGAACAAGTTCTGTGTAGCCACAAGGGTTGTATAATAAACACTACTTTGAAAATTGGAACAATTAACTACCATAGCCTGAGGGTACCTTTTACAAGATTTTAGTAAAGAATATGAGGGTGGTTAATTTCATGTCTGCCCTTCCAGCTGCAAAATAAAACAGCTGCCTGCACATTTAATTTAGAAAAGGCACACAGAACATATAGGACAACCTTAAGTCAACCTGCTAATAATCTTTATTTTTTTCATTCATTAATTCCAAGCGAGTACTTTGCATTTCAAATATTAAACATGCTTTTCTATTCTGATTAAGATGTCCAACTCAAACTCATTCAATTCTTCAGCTTCCAAGTTACTTTAAGCTGTTCCCTCTGCCCAACCTGGGAAGCACAGCAGAAATAGTATTAAGGACATTGGTGGAAGAACTCACCTTTTCTAGTCCTAGATCAAATTACCTTATAGCATCACAGTGCTGTTAAAATATTTTTCTACGACTGTACCAGCATTTACTTCCTTCACACCAAGCTTTCACTTCTCTTGATGACTGAGGACGTAAAGCCACAAGCCAAACATGCAGCTTTACTCTACATTCCCCTTGTTTTTCATTTAATTTCAGACACACACATCAAATAAGATTTTTAATTCTTTAATTTAGTGTTGGTCATTTTTGGTTTGTGCCTTGCGGACAATACACATTAAATACATTCAGATTAACAATTCATTTAGTTTGAAGAGATGGAGTTAAAACTTTAAAAAATACCATTTTACACTATGCAAAACAGAACCTTTGTCATTAATGACATTAGCTATGGACAGGCAGAGAGGAAGACTGTTTCCTTTTAGTTTACGCGTGCATTTACTCCTACACAGCTTCAGGAGAATTTGCTTGTACCAACACATGTTGGGTTAACTGTTCAGCTAAAGGAACAAGATTTAGTAATACTGAGCTTGGTCTTCAGCACTTATCTTTCCAGCAGAATATAGGTTCTTTTCCATCTACTAAGCTATGAGCAGCTATTTTCTGAAGAGTTATTGAACAAAGAGTTTCAAAAACTTTAGCTATTTCTGAAATAGCCTCATCCTCTTAGTGGTGCACACAGCTGCCAAAGCCTCAATAAATAGGTAACATTCTTCCCCTAGAAAAAAAGGGTGGTTTGGTACCACTGCCACTTCACAAACAATACTTATGAAATCAGATGAACTGGCACCGTTATCCCAAGCTTTAGCCGGATTAATATATACAACCATACATTGCACTCAGCAGAATTAGAAAAAATATGATCTTGTTTGTTATCTTGCAAGCAATGTAAGGAATTATGTGTGTGGAAGCTGACAAAACGCACCCTACTTTTTAAATCTGTAATAGCTGGGCTGTCAAAACTATTACGCAGTTGACAATGATTCGCTTGATACATTTTACAATGAAAAGGCAGAAAATGTGTATTTTTTCCTCCATTTAATTCCATGATTAAGAATGACTTAACATTTTATTCATCAATGTTTACCCAATTACATACAGTTTCCATAAGTTATGGCTGCCAAACAAGTGTGTACTTCAACCACCCACCAAAAGCAACATAATCTGGTGAGTGGGACAGGTTTTAAGGTCAGTCACAGTACATGTAAAAATATAAAGTTTAAAAACCATTAGACATTTCCATTGCAATCTCCTTTGTGAAATAAATAAGGCAGCAGAACTTTTACTTAGCAGTGGCATCTTTGAGATATGCTATTAGGTCTACTCTCTCAGTCTTCTTCTTAATACCCGCAAAAATCATCTTTGTTCCTGGGATGTACTTCTTCGGGTTTTCCAAGTACTCCATCAGAGTATCCTCACCCCAGGTGATACCTGGGCAGAAAAGAAAAAAAAAACAGTGACCTTCAGGAAGAGCAAACAAAACCCTTCATCCCACATTTACTTTCTTGTCCTCTATGTCCTCTATTTTACTTTTTGAAGTAAACTCTGGAAATAAAGACTTCTAGAACTACCACTTAAAACTCATGCTTTGTCCCAAGTAATGCAAAAGAGCGCTTTTAAGTTTACCTTTATTCTTATTCGCATCTGTGTAAGAAAAGCCCTCGGCTTGTCCAGTTTTACGTCCGAACAGGCCATGCAGGTTGGGTCCAGTCTTGTGCTTGCCTCCCTTTTCAACCGTATGGCATTGGGAGCACTTCTGCACAAAGATCTTCTTGCCCTTCTCAATATCTCCCATTTTCAGCACTAGACCAAGAACAACCACAAAGGTTAGTGCCACAGCGGCAAGGTCAACCATTCAACAGCGCCTTTGATGGGCACCTAGCGGTTTGCAGAGAGGTTTTGCACCAGCCCATCAATCTGGACACTCCCCGGAGAGTTTCTACCACCGGTTTCGTTTCCCGGCAGGGCCCCGTCTTTCTCCCCGTCCCCACCCCGGCATCTCGGGACACGAGGCCCCGCGCTGACCTCCCTGCCGCG